CCTGATGAATCTTTTACATTTTACAGTTAGGACAGTCTTTTTATAGACTGAGGTTGTTTAGTATCCCCGTCGTCTATGGCTTACAAGGCAAAACTACTGGAGAAACAGGATCACTAACGATGCAAAATTACCTTAAGGAGTCTGGTAAGCTGTTGCACACCTTAAGAACACCTTGTTATTTTATACCTGTTGCATGACTGCATATCTGGTGTTTGCATAGGAGGATGTGATACCATAAAAGAAGAACTTTGCCTTTAACTCACTTTCATCAGCCTAAGACATACTGCCATACATTTATTGTTTTTCTTCAGCGATTTCTTTTTTTTCACCTGTCCAAACAACAATGCACACCTGACACTACTATCAAAGTGGTACACTATTCCTTCCAGCTGCTTCACTCACCATGTAATGGTGAAAGCTCGGAAGCATAACTAGCAGCTTGACTTTCACCTGCTCTGTGATTAATTTGGGTTATTATCATTTGACTCATGCAGACTGAAATCGGATTTCCAGATGATGATCCTTCAGAAAGATTGATGTGCTGGTCTTAGTGTACGTCTATACCATATATTTTTTAGTATCAGCTTACCAAATAAGATATGAAACACAATAATATTTTATAATAGCTATTGATAATTAAATGATGTATACTGTTCTACCCTAGCAACACAATAAAACATTAGACAATAAAACTGTCATGGTTGGGTGGAGCTTTTTGAGGACCCAAATGCAGAGACCAGGAGGCAGAGGTGAGTCTTGCAGGTTTAATGAAGCAGAAATCCAAAAATCCAAAATAACAAATAGAGAAAGTCAGGATTTAGGGGACATCGGGGAAAAGACACATGTGGAGCCAGGGCAAGACGAGGAACCAGCACTGAGGAACTGCACAGGGAGAGTAAATATGGGAACAAGACAAGGAATAGGTGTGGATGGAAGCATCTAGAAGGAAGCCGAGGAGAAAGGAAACAAACACAAGGGGGCTACAGAGAGTAACTCAAAAATATAACCAAAAACAACTAGAATAACACTAAATGAAAATTAACCCAAAAAACTAGAAAACACAGAAAGACAAGAATTAAAAAGTATAACTGAAATCTCAAAAAGAAAACTTAAACAGAACCAAAAAGTTCAGGGTCATGACAAAAACTGTCAGCAACGAAGCGGCGGGTTCACTTGTTCAAAGCTACAGAATCATAAACGATGTTACAGGTCAAGTTTGTACACAGAAAAAAATGACTTTTTGATTGTGTCACATGGCAAACAACAAACTAGAGTTTTTAAATGTATCACCTTTTATTGATTAATAAGGTAAAATGAGTGGAATGTAAATCTAATATGCCGTAAGTCAAAATGCTCCACACCAAAGCAATGCAGGGTGTTTCCCCTATAATCTGATGTTTTTTGTTTTTGCAAAAAAAGTCCAAAAACAAATAGCACCAGTTTCATCCATCCATCCATCCATCCATCCATCCATCCATCCATCCATCCATCCATCCATCCATCCATCCATCCATCCATCCATCCATCCATCCGTTTCATTACCATTACCAATCTGGTCTTGGATTTGTTTGTTGATCCATTTTGGTACCAGCATAAATTATTGCAGTATTTAAAAAAGGAACTTTATCAGATGAACTGAGGGATCTTTTCACTGTGTGCAGATAGCATTCAGCTTAACTTAGTGTGTTAATTAAGCAATAGATCACACAGAAGCTGCTCTAATCATCTCCTCTACATTTCAAACTGATTCACTAGATGGAAGATTTCCGCATTTCTTTTCATTACAAGCCACAGTCAGAAAAAAGAGCTAACTTCAGCTGCCAGGGACAATATTCTCATGTATAGATGGGAAGTGGAAGTCATTGAGCTACTCCAGAGCCATCTGCCTCTACATCACATAATGTAATATGGTGATAGACCTCAGAGCAGCCCTTGTTTCAGAGCTATTTCACTATTCCCCTTTTTGTGGTACCCAAATGAATATACTGCACTTCAATGGATCCGGATCAATTTGCATCAAATTGAAGGGAAATACGTAGTTATGTGTTAAAAGCCTGATCTATTCCTGTGCAAGATCAGCTGAAATGAAACCTAATGTCTGCATTTAGTTCTGAAGTAATGTGTGTTCCTCAAAACATCTGATTCTGATGGATTTCATCTATGAATTAAAAACTTTCAAGCTTTCTACACCAACACTTTACACTCCATGATGCATACAGAGGGATTTTATATGCCTCTGCAAAGCACTTGTCTTAGAGGGCAGCCAAGTCTCTTTGTTTAGAGCATTAAAACTGACTCTGACTCACTCGTTGTCACGCAAAGGAGGGAGTGTCCCAGTGGATGCAGCAGAGTGCTCCGACACTCCCCTGTCGCTACTGAGGTTTCTGATGTAAGCACCTCTGAGCAAAGGAAATGCCTTTAAATCAGATCAAAGAAGTGACACCACTTCAAAAAAAGAGACATCCACACAGCATCAACCGCTGATGCAAAACTAGACACTAGCATAATTAAAGCATCTGCATACAGATACATGCGTAAGAACTGCTTTTTTAACATGATGAGGGGCTCTTTAAAACTGTAGTTATGCCATTTTTTTCTATAAAGGCTTTGAATTGAAAGAAAAGGAAATTGTTAATGGAAAAAAAAAAGCTGAAACAGCTTATTCTGTGCCTCGTTTAGCTGTAAAGTAAAAAATGAATTTTCCCTGCAACAGTGGACATCTTGGTTGCTAGGTGTCAGATGCATATAAATGTTGTCTGTGATTGGCTTTCTTATTGCTTATCTTCAAGCAACTCTTTCCTAATTTTTCTGCATTTATCTCAAGCGTATCTTCATGCCCCTTTTTATGACCTATTTGGAAATAACTCTTTTGTCTTTATCTCATTTTTAACTTTCCTTTCTCTTTGATTCGTAGAATGAAATTATATTTGAATTATAAAAATCATGAGATGACCACTTTGTCAAAACGTAGAACTGCTAATCAGCCATAAAAACAAATTTTAATCAAAGTTACAACAGAGAGAACTGCTGGCCCAGCGTGAGAATATTGTGCCATCCGAGTGATGTTTTAATTTTGTCTCCATATAGTCCTCTGACAGGGCAGAGTTGATTCCATCACTATGGAAGAAGTCGCAGAGGAAGGGTTTTGTTGGTAAATGCGATTCATCCAAATGCAATGAAGGCTTTCTAGTTGTTGCATTGACATACAGTACCTCTGTAAAGGTATATGGAGGACTGGAAACATGCCTCACAGAGTGGCAGACTTGCGTTGTTGGTCATATTTTTTCCAAAGTGGACGACAGGGAGTGTTTCATCTATTGAGGAATGAGACTTCTCAGTATCTCTAATAAAGCTATACTTTGGGGTTGGCTCTCATCCTGGTCATTGGAGCCTGCTTCCCTCCATGTTGTTTAGACTAATTTCTACTCCAGTACACCTGATGTAAATAACTGCATTACCTTATTTAAGATGTGTGATAGCAGGGTAACATGAGGAGCGTGAGACACTGAGGACGAGAACTGAGAAAGACTTCTTCAAGTTGTTGCAAAGATCTTAGATTCCAGAGATTCCAGAGCAGTTTGGCCTCCATCCTGGCCGTAGAGCAGTGGACCAAATCTTTGGCCTTGCAGAATCACTGAGGTGGTCAATAGACTTTGGTTATCTGTTCAGCATGTGAATTATGTGTTTGGGAAACACTTACCACCATGAAGCATGATGGGGGGATTCATACATTGAATAAGCAAAAGCGTAGGCTTTGCTGAAATGTGGGTGTGACCCAAAAGGTGATTGGAGGTAACTATCTCAATTTGTGGTATTGAGTAACCTCATTTTATATATAATAATAGAGAAGAGAGTGTCTGACTTGTCTTGGAAACCCCCCAGGTTTAATCTTTGTTTGAATTATGTGGCTCTATTTGTAGTTGACAAATGGTTTGAGAATCAAAGTTGGGCTATTATTCTACATCAGAAAATTAAAGACTGACCCCAATAGGTGAAAGGAAAGTTGTTCTTTTGTTGTCTTGCTTTGGGATAAATGGTATGATGGAAATGGGCATAGTGAGTTGGGGTCTCATCCGTAACCTGTAGAAAAATTTGACCTATAAATCTCTGTGTTTCTTGATAAAAACTGCCAAAGACTTTCATTTTTATGATTATCTGACCCAACTGTGAGGAGACCCCGGGATAGACTGAGAACCCCTCAGAGGAACTGAAACCATTTCATCCTAGAGACGCTTCAGAGGTCATTTTTTCCAGGGTTGTCTAGGTTTCCCTCACAGTGCTTTGAAAAACTGCTGTTAGCTTTTCTAAGCACTGGTGATAAAATAGAACATTATTTCAAAAATAACCCTCTAGCTCTATTCTGGCTTTGTGCTAAGCTACAAGTGCGATCAGATTTATCATGCATATTTAAGAGGGTCTCTTGCAGTCAAAAGTAGTCACACAAAGGCAAAACCAGATGCAGAAGAGACATGAGTGCTTGGCATGGAAACCGAGTCCTTCCTACAAAGACTGCATTTTGTGGATGTCTTAAAGGCGCTTGTTTGTCACTCTGTGTAAAAGAGAGCACAAAATGAGCAGAGAAAACCCAGTAAGCTTCTCTCTGAGCTTGTTCATCAAAGCCGATGAGAGAAAATCATTTTGAAGTTTAAAAACCATATTGTATGAGTTTTAAGAGCACAAATTAAACGGCATAGTAAGGATCTGCTTGTTTGATCCATCTGCTCCTCGTTTAGGAGTCTGTTATTTGTCTGCCTTCCAAACCAAATAAATTATAGCAATAATAATACAAATCTACTTAGTCAGAAAAAAGACTTTTTCACCGCATTCAAAGCAAATATTAGTTATTATAGAGATATGGGGGAAGCAGATGGCTTCCATGCTGGAATGCTTGTAAAGCAAAGTTCGCTAATGTGTGAAGTGAGTCGTGTGTTTCTGCTGTTCAGCTTAAATAATAACGTTACAGCTTAGTAAACCTTGTTTCTCCTCTTCATGTCTTGTAGTTGGGATGACAGCAGCTCAGTGAGCAGCGGCCTCAGCGACACGTTGGACAACTTCAGCACAGATGATCTGAACACCCCGACGTACTCCGGTGCCAGCTCGTCGCGCAAAAGCAAGGGAGCACAGGTGGGCGCACAGAACGGATATTTGTTAGCATTGAAACAATGCTTCTGTGGTGGAAAAAGTCAGGAACAAAACCGAGCTTTAAAGCTGCAGTTCCTCTCAGAAACCCTTGGACATTTTCACATTTTGTCACATTATTCATTTAAACATACTTGAATAGGATTTATTGGGTTAGACTAACACAATGGCATATAATTGCAATGTGAAATAAAAAGTTATATCTTTTATTTAAAAAGCAACTCCCACATCATGATGCTGCCTCAAACAGCTTATACGGTATGGTAGGAATAATGGGTTTGGAGTGTTAACCATAAAACATTCTTATAAATCAGATGCAAATAGATTTTTTTAATACCTATCCAGGAGTTTTTGTCAGTTCGAGTCGCACTAGAGCAATCTGTAGTTGGAGCGCTGATGTTTTAAGTGGCATGGATGTCCATTCTCCTGAGCACATTTCAAGGCAAATGCAAATCAAAGACCCACACGATATTCTCCTCTGTTTTTGTATTCTTCTGTTCGTGTACTGTATGGCAAGGGTAACTAATTAAAAATACGAATAAAGAAAATCAACAACCAGGTAAAGGTCCGGAGACATTTTATAATTATAATCCGTAACTTTAAACAGCATTTAACACTGAAATAAAATTCAGGTGATTATACATCCATGTTATATATTGAACTTTTAAATAAAAAAATTGAAAAAATAGAAAGTTTTTCCATTTTAAAATCTAAATTGTTTTTGAAGTAGAGGACAACAATCTTTCAATTTGTTATATAGACAATTTCCTGACTCTTTTTATAAAACACCTGAAGTGACAGTCTTTTTTTATTATTTCTTTTTTTTTATGGCTTAATGAGAGAATTGCGATTTATTCTGCCCTGCAAGACTTTAAACCTTTGAGAGTTTGATTGGCGACAAAGCCATTCTATCAAGGTGCTCATTTTGAGCCTGGATCAATATTTTTTTTTTATTATGACCATGGTAGAGAATCCTGCTTCACAGCAGCAGGTTGAGCCAAACATACTCAAAATGTGCAGTGTCATCTTTGAGCACGCCATTTCTCTTTTCTTTCTCTAGTTCACTGAGCTTTTTCCAGCAGTCCACACTGTCTTTTTCTCCTAGTCTTCTCCTTCTTTCCCATTGATCCTGACTGACACAGCTCATTGGCTAATTTGTATCACGTGCAGGCTGGTCCCAGTTGCTCCGTATGGCTTTAGACACTGTCGTCGGACAACGTGCAGTAATTAATAAATGTTTTAAACCAGGTTGGGTCCGAATTAGCCAGCAGGTGGTTCCGGATCCGGACCCTGGTCCGCTAATCTCTGACCTCTTGTGTATGGGTTATGTGACTGCCCATCTGAATCACAATGATGTTCTTGTGTGATTAAAAAAGCCAAACAGATAACGCATGCACAACAAAAGATGATGGGTAGGTCTTTGGTTTGCATCCGATTTGACAGATCTGACTGACTGTGATTAGGAGGACGAGCCTCCGTGTTGCTGAAAACTCAGCTTTCCAATTACAGTTTGAGGTACGTCTTCAGTAAAGGGGCCTTACTAGTTACGTCCTCAGAAAATGCTTTTAGAAAAACTGATCATGTTGCCTCTGAATCCTGGTTTGGTTTTCCTTGACCTGGATGACTGAGAATTTACATAGGCATGTATAGAATGGTGACTTTTCCACACACACCACATTGGACAATGCTCCACCTGACCTGTGAATTGCTGCAGCTCCTCTAGAGGTGCCATGATGCTCTTGGCCGCTCTTTACATTAATTGTCTATCTGTACTATTGTAGCAGGTCACTGGATAGTATATGGGAATATTTATCAGAGGCTGAATAGAGATGCATACTATACTTTTTATAAACAAACAAAAATAAAAATAAAAAGTGCAGGAGGTATGAAGGCCTTTGGAAGGCCAAAAGAAAATAAACAGCCTCTCTAACATCTTTGTTTCGGCCTGAAGTGAAGGCCGACCGTTGCGTCAGCTTTGGAGTCACAGCTGACAATAGGAGCTGTAAGAGCTGCATTCAGCTCTCCTCTGAGGGCCTTGGCTATATTCTGCCAAGCATCCTTGGCTCCTTATGAAATACTCAACAGACTGGCCTCTTAAGAGACGCTGGCGTTGCTAGGGATACTGACCATCTGTTAAGGTATGGGTTGCTTGTCACTGTTTTGTGTGTTTGTGTGGAGGCGTTTGTAAGCGTCCCAAAAGTGGAGAGCTGTACGTAGGAGATTCCAAAGATAGATGCGACTTCACACGCACACCCTGCTGCTAGAAAAGGCGCTCGCCTGTCCTCCTGATGACTCAGTTTGTGTTTAAATGTGATTAATATTTATATAAAGAAAAACAGATTTAGGTTTCCAAGATAACTGTACATGGATCTCCTACACAGTGCAAAGATGAGCATCTTGCTAAAAAGATGAATTAATCTGTGATTTATTTAATCCCTACCCCAAACCCCCTCCTCCATAGTCCCAGAAAGAAAGCAGGTCCAAGCATGCCCAGCCGGAGGTGAGCAGCAGTTGGGTTGGCGCCGAAGACTTGAAAAAAGTGGACGAGGAGTTGGACCCGAGCATGGACCCTAACGGTAGCCCCTCCCGCTGGAAGCCTTCCTCATCCGCCTGTTCCCCCCAAAGCCAGGGTCAGTACGAGGACACCGGCCAGAAGGCAGCTGGGCTTGCCCAGATGTCCCAGACGGGCTCATGGCGGAGGGGCATGACAGCCCAGGTGGGGATCACACCACCCAGGACCAAGGGGAGTTCTGCTGCACTCAAATCACCAGGTGGGAGATGCAACCATGACTGCATTTATAAACAAAGTCTGCACATAAAGCAAGATTCTTTCTTGGTTGAAACCCTTTGAACCATTTTTTACAATTTCTGACAGTGCAAGCCCATCTTTCTGAAATCAGAAGAAGCATATATCTGTTTTTTATGTGTTTTATATTCAACCTGCCCAACTCTGATACCTCTAAAAAATGCAGGAATGTTAAATCTGTAGTTTTGATTGTCTATTTTGCAGGTAAAACTGACGATGCCAAGGCCTCAGAAAAGGGCAAGGTCCCTTCCAAAAGCCCCACTGGGATACAGCGCTCACCATCAGATGCTGGGAGAAGTAGTGGGGATGAAGGCAAGAAACCTCCCTCTGGTATTGCTCGCCCACCTGCCACCAGTTCATTTGGATACAAAAAGATCACTGGTCCTGCTGGCACGCTAATTACCTCTAGCGGCGCAGCCCTCACGGGTGGCTCAGCCACCCTGGGCAAGGCCCCAAAGTCTTCATCTGGCCTCGGCAAAGGCACAAGCATCGGCGGGGGCCGTAAAACCAGCCTAGACGGCTCGCAGCCCCAGGATGACGGGGTCCTCCTCAGCTGCAGCAGCTCCAAAGTCACCCTGCAGTACCGCTCCCTCCCAAGGCCGGCCAAATCCTCTAGTGGGGCCGCAGCAGGGCGCTGCGGGCACCGCTCCAGCTCCAGCAGCATTGAATCAAATGTCAGCGGGAAGTCCGCAGGTGGAGTGCCAACACAAGCGGGTGCCAAACGGAGGGAGGGAAAGGTTAGCTCGGACCGCTCCAGTCCCATCACCATCAACCAGACGGATAAAGAAAAAGTAGGGGTGTCTGAACAAGACCAGGCAGGCCTGTCCACCTCTCCCAAATCCAGCCCTACCTCTGGTTCAGCAGGCCAGACAGGCCTCAGGCAGCCAGGATCCAAATACCCAGACATCGCTTCGCCTACCTTCCGCAGGTCAGACACAGAATACATCCCTTCTGCTCTTATTTGTATTGATCTCTTGGCTTGTTGGGTTTTGCGTGAATCAACCATTTCACCTCACTGCTTTTTATAGATACTTTTTTTCTAGCTTTATAGAGCTATAGGTATCCATCATCATGCTCAGGTGTCTTTAAGATTCCATCAGATGTTTTAAGAACTTCCATTTTAGAGCTTTACTATATATTAATTTCCATGACAGAAACATGATTTTAGCATATTTTCCCAGGGTTGTAAGAGACAACCGCCAAGATGCTCCTGCTTAACCATGATTTGAACTCCTTCTGTCATCTCTATTTTATCTGCATGGACAATATACATATCAACCACCCAATAAATCCTTTTGAAGGGTTTCAAAGAACGTTAGATCAAATTGACAACTTAGGCATGTTGTCACATAGATTGCTCCCTAGTGTAGTTCCTAAGCAACATGGCATACCTTTCAGAAGATGAAATCTTTCAATTAATTTAACCAAATACTGCTCAGAACTCTAGATTAAGTTATCATAATGTGTGTTAACACCCAGTCTTCAAGCTGCAATTTAGCAGACATGACCGGAGACACCCGGCCTACAGGATCCTACAGGGCAGTTTCATCTGCCTGTCTTCAAGCTGCTTCACCCTCAACAGAAAGCTATCTTTATATATGCTGTGGTAAATCTCATGCTGAAAGATATGCAGAATATGTCATAGGACTGAAGGTCCCTACAGCCTACAGTCATATGGGTGAACTAGCCAAAGCTACAGTGTGGAAGGAGTGAGTTTGGAAGTGTCTTGTCTGTGTGGATGCGTTTTAGAAGCTGCTTTGTAGCGTTGAATACATTTTATTAGATTATGTGGGATTTTATGCCATTGATCAACACAATGTTCTAGTTAGTAAAAATATGAACAGCTAGAGATACAATTAGTGTTGTAAATCAAACCATGTTTATCTGTTAAAATTGCTCTGTCATAGCCCCAATCCACATCACATGTGTGCAAAATTTGTGGCATGAGTGCAAAAAATGTATCTTTGCTGTAGCTTTAGACGCAGAATGTTGGGAGACTTACCCAAGAAGTTTATAGTGTAACGGGTGTGGGGAAAGGAATGCACAGCAGACCTTTTTTAGATTCTCATAATCAAATGTTTCATAATGTCATCAATCTTTTTTCTTCCACTTCATAATCATGTACTTTGTGCTGATTGTCTGCATAAAACCTCAAGTATTTTGTAGTTGAATCAAATGTAAAAAGAATACTCTCTGGTCAGGTCCTTTCAATGTCCTTAGTGTCGTTCTACTTTTCTACTCCACCTATAACAATCCTTTACATTCCAGTGCGGACTTGCAGTCGCTCCTTCTTGATCTCTGGGCCCTTCTAAACACTCCACCCACTCTTTACCCCCAGATTGTTTGGCACAAAAGCCAGCAGCAAGGCAAGCTCTCCGGGTACGCCCGACTCTGGCAAGTGCCCGTCAATCCTGGGCAGCCCCCACGGCACGCTGGCCAGACAGCCCAGCTTGGACTCGCCTTCTTCTGGCACTGGAAGCTTGGGCAGCACTGGTGGCCTGAGCGGTGGCAGCAGCCCGCTGTATGGTAAAACCCCCGACCTGTGCACTGACTCCCTGGCTTCAAGCCCAGCCTCTGGCCTTTCCCTTCCCTCCAACGCTCGTCCCTGGCCTGCCTGTAGCTCATCAGCTGGCAGCAAGGACACCCTGAGTTGCCAGAGTATGACAAGTCTGCACACCAGCTCTGAGTCCATTGACATGCCGCTGGGCCATCATGGGCCAAAGGTTACCCGTACTGGCAGTATCAAGTCCACCCTGTCCGAGGGGTGAGTAAGAAGGAATACGATTGGGAAGAATCGTATTCATTGTTTCATTTGACAACTGAGACAAACAGGCAAAGCCTTCTTACCTTAAAATGAACTTAAATATTATAATGAGTAATATTAGGGACAACAAAACAAGGTCATCCAGTACTTACATTTTCTGCTCTAGTTTTGCAAAATGCAACAATAATTCAATATATTAAGTACTTACCTTAAAACTATTGCATAGAAAATAAATCCCAGATAATTTAGCTAATTTCAGACATACTCATTAGAAGTCTGTATCAGTGTGTTCATCGTTTTGTCTACATAGTGCATGGACTACATTGCTGAACACAGTCTCAGAGCACACATTTATATTACCTCACTAGAACAGATGGATGTCTCACAAATGAAACAATCAATTCAACACCTTATGTGTTTTTGGTTATGTAGTTCTACATAAATGCATAATATCTTGACGTTCTCGTACGTCTAGTACGTCTGTCTGAACATTTGGCTTCTCTTTCGTGTGTCGCGAAAACCAAATTATTTCCGTGTTCATCTGATCGGCCCTTCTCTGTTTCAACAGCATGCCCCTTGACAGAAACACGCTCCCCAAAAAGGGACTGAGGTACAGCGCATCCGCATTCGTAGCTTTATTTGTTGTCTGTCTGCACTTGCATGCACCAGTGCATGTCTATATTTTACATGCTATTGTATGTTTTTCATGCTTCAGTGTTGAGCAGTTACTTCTAATTGGTGTTTAATTGCTTAAAAGAATATTGGCCTGTATGATTTGGGAAGTTTACATTTCATATACAGACCCCTCTATGCTTACAAGTCAATGTTATGAAACGTCACCTTGGATTGTGTATTCATCTTCCATTACGTCCTACTGTCACTTATGAATTCCACACCAAGAAAGATAGGCCACAACCAGGTAGTATCAGTCCACTATTTTTCGGTTAAGAACTATGGCTATGGATTTAAAGCCAGTTGCTTCACCTGCTCCAGTGAGCCCTGAATGTCAAGGCCAGAAGAATCCAACATAACAACATCATCTGCAAATAGCTGACACCCCGAACTTCCAAACCAGAAATCTCCCTCTCCAAATCTATACAGTACTTTAAAGACCCTGTCCAATGATTAGAGACAATGGGCTGCCCTAGTAGAGTCCAGATACTCAGGAGACCTCATGTAGTCCAACAAACAAACTCCCATAAAACCCCTCATCAACTCTGCCAGGATGAAGATGTAGCCCAATGTCTCAAAGTCAATTTGAAAGCCAAACTTCTTTCTTCAGAGTCTAAGGTTGAATAATTGTTTGGTGTTTCCGTTCAACACCTTTGTGTACATATTTTAAATGTTTTTATGGCTCTTTAATGTTGATCAGTTCTTATCTTATATTCGCTTGTAAATTTTGGGGGAAAATTGCCTTTTTTTTGTTACCCAATATTTGTGGATAAAATTTGGGCGACACAAAAGCACTGAAAATCAGGTTCAGATCGGATCAACTCAACTGACATATCAACCAGATTTAGACATCAATAGATGTTCTTTTGCATTGCCTCATCTTTTTAACACTTTTTAACCACTGCTAAGTTTTGCTTGGCAAAGGCAAACATCTTTTTTATGCCCACTTCTTCATAGCCTATGTCATTTTACTCCAAAAAGGGTTCAATGTCCACACCTCTTATGGTCCTCATTAGTCTGTCCAGTTTATTGGGTGCTTTGTTATGCACTCTGCCCTTTATCTCACCCCAAAGGCCTTCTACGATATAGCCATAGAAGAAAGTGGACTTTGTTTGTGATGAACCAAGCTTTTTTTAATGGCATAGCTCCCAAAAAATTGCTTGGGTTAGGGTTTGGTGCATTTCTACCATCCACATCACTGTGGAAAAAGGTGAAGTTGGCTTTCAATTAAGGTTGCCAATAAGGAAAATGTCTAAAGGGGGATTCCACCTGTTGCTTAAAGACTATAGTATTTAAACAGTTTAAACCTGGACTACACCATTTGAAACTCATTGTAAAAGCTTTATAACGATGTTTGGGATTGGTGAAAGCTTTATTTGATTTGTACAAGTACAAAAAAAGACATCAACATTTTGGACACCTTAAAACTGCTCCAAAACAACAGTATATAGGCCCATCAAACCTGGATTAGATTATTCTGCAAAAATAGTATAATCTTTAACATACAGTTTTCGATTTGTGAAACGTTAGTCTGATTGCCCTTTTAGCCATTTTCAGAATCGGATATGGAATTGGAATCCTTCAGCTCTTTTTTTTTTTTTTTTTTTTACTACAGATGGTTGTTTAGTCCTTTTTCAGCTTTTTTTTTAAACCAGTCCATCTGCTTTACTCTCAAATGATGGTTGGATGGTTGATATGAACCGGACGTGGGGGGTAGCTGCTGTTATGCTATTTATTGAAGAATTAAGATTAGTCAACATCTACTGTGGTAGAAAAGTATTTTACAAGTTCCTGAGAGAAATCGGGCTAAAAAGATGGTTCTGGATCATTCATCTAAAGTTATCATCAATGTATAAATATAGTAAAAATCTTTGGTAAAATGTATTTTAAAAGAAATGTTTTAGGGGTGCTAATAAATGGGGTACCTTTTTATGGATTTACTCAAATTAAAGGTATTTTATAAAATAACTGGTTAAAATATATCAGTTTATTTCATGTTTTTTTATAGCTAGCTTTAGTATTTAAACAACTAGTGTTTTTAAAATTACCCTAATCTAAAAATAGCTCTCATTTGCGGCTGTTTTAAGTTTTAAAGTTATTCTTCAGAGCAGATTAATTAAATTACAATTTTAAAGCTATTTGCTTGTTTACACTGTCTGTGGTATATTTGCCCATTTAGAGCCTGAAAGGATCTTATATCCTACACCTCTATCTGCCTTCTTATTTATGCTCTTCAGCTCAAAAAGTGCTGACTTTTCCTCCTTTTATGCTCCAATGAAAATATCCAGTCATATTTCAGACACTGCAAAGCTCTTATATTCCCATGCTTTTGTTTTTGTTGAACTAATCCAAGATTAATAGCTTCCTTGTTTCACCTAGATTATAGAACAAAACACACTGGTCCTGTTAATGTGCATTTTCTTTATATTAAGAGCCAAATAGCTGGAACACCTCTGTCTCTGAGAATTTAAGGGCAAATAATGCAGTCGCTCTTGACCAAGCACAGCATATAGCATGAATATTAAAGGATGTACAGCTAAATGATTAAAACAGGGGTCAGATGTGACAAGCGTGTTAATGGTGCTGAGGAGGAATGAGTGCAAACTCAATTATCATTCCCAGAGGATTAAATATGGCCGATTGTCATGTGTGCGATAAGGAGGCTTTCTCTGTTGGGTGATGGAGATGGAGAAAGAGAGGTTGGAGAGTTGCGTGTGTGTTTTATTCATTAGCATACCAAGCCTTGGACAACTGGAGTAAGTTTTTCTGTTAATCCGTAAATGATTGAATGAACTGATGGAGCAAATGGTTTGCAGCGAAAATGGATTTGCTCTTTTTTATCGGCGAGTGATGCAAATTTGAATACTTTTTGAGAAATGTTGTATATATTTAGAGCTTTAAAGCCCCAGCAGAAAGCTTGATACTTCTGCGTTCGTTTTAAACCCTGGCTCCCGCATCAATTGTCTCCATCTAGTAAAAGTTATGCCCATATTGACTCTTGTTTTATCCCGGGTGGAACTTCTTTTTCTTTCCATCTTTTGCTTTCTCTCTCCCACTGGGCAAACATCATGGATGGTCCGCCATTTCAATTGAAAACTCCAGAGTGAATGATCCCCTATCATCCTTGCTGGTTTATGCTCCATTTCCAGCGACAACAATTCTTTACTTGGACGTAGAGATGAGCAAACATGCGCCCTTTGGTGTGTGCACAGAGGCTAGTGCATCCTAAAGATAAAACCCCCAGACCGAATATGAGCGGAGTGGTATATGCTGTTCAGTGCAGCGAGGAATGCTCTGATCTTTATATTGGAGAAACCACACAACCTCTCCACAGACGCATGGCCCAACACAGAAGAGCGGCCGCCTCTGGACAAGACTCTGCAGTACATACACCTTTTGGACAAAGGACATTCTTTTGAGGGCCAGAATGTTCACATTTTGGATAAGGAAAATAGGTGGTTTGAGAGGGGCATGAAGGAAGCCATCTATGTTAAGAGAGAAAAAACAACTTTAAACAGAGGTGGTGGACTCAGACTTCAGCTTCCAAAAACTTACAAATCAGTCATAGAGAGGATCCCTTCCAGATATCACTACAACCCCCACCCCATCACAGAGGAACAAAGTACCTCCTCACCTTTAACGACCGACCCTTCACAATCATAGACCGGTTCCAGGTATTACAGGAGACAATCCCCCCTTTAACGACCGACCTTCAGAATCATAGACAGGTTTCAGATATTACAGGCTAACAATGGAACCAAACAAACCGCTCGTCAGTTTCAATTTGCATCTTTCCAAGCAATACAAGGCCTTGTCTATATAAAGCCTCAAACTCACTGCGAATCCAGACATTTGAATTGAGAAACTTCCTGGACGGGAAGCGAAATGTCTTCAAACCTTGGAAACCAAGTCCAGTGGATTGTTTTTTAAACTTTTACGGAATAATTATGAACTCCTAATTCAAAGCTACCATAACACTTTCATTTAAAATGGGATTTCATTCAAATTTGGAAGAACACCTATTTATAAAGGCCAAATAAGTTATACATAGTCCCTTCAATGTTACACAGAAATAATGGTTCGGTATGTACCTTGTCTTTAAAGTCCAAGCTGGTTCCTTGCCACAGTTTTAAAAGAAAATCATTGTGTCATGGTTTGGTCCTTACCCTGGTCTCTTGGTTACAGCTTTAAAATTAATTTCATTCCTTTTCTCTATCATCCTTTAGTTCCACCCTCGATCTCATCCTCTCATTCTTTCATGGACTTTGAATCCCCTACTCATGTTAAAAGTCACCATTTCGCAGATTTTCCTTTAACATTTTGGAAAATTTGATCCTTACTTTGCTCCTTTAACTGAATTCAGGTTCATTTTTGTTACGTTCACAAGAATTTGTGTAGCAAGTGGCAATCTGTACGTACAAATGATGATACAAGGGGCAATTTGACCCCAAGATATTGCATGTCTGCTTCTATAAAGAATGCTTGGATGCTATGGTTAAGCCTCGGTCTGAATTGTGGTGAGGGTGTTGCTTCGCTTGTTTTGTTTTCTTTGCATTTGGGGATTAACATTTTAAAGCAGATAGCTTTAACATAGAGACTGCTGGCGACTGCTAATGCAGTGTTGGTTTAAACATCTTGGATTCTTTATCACCGCTGTCCTTGAGACCTAACTTTGATTTAAGTAGAGAAAAAAACATGTCAGACTTGAGAAAGATGACAACAGTCTATAGTGATATATTCTTTGTTTTTTTTTTAAGTTTCTCCCATATCTGGTGATTGAAAAAAAAGATTCAACTTTATTTTTTGTGCATGTTGCTAACACTCATATAGATGATTACAAATCTTATTGCTGCATGTTTTTTTTTTGTTTTTTTTTTAACCATCTGCCCTTTTGCATCTGCTTTCTAGCTGCACTGCTGCCAGAATTAACTGCTTAAGCCTCTGGAAATCCCTTCCTGCCTAAAGATCCTGGTATTTTCTCTTTTTGGTTTTCAGGTACCCACCGTCATCTAGGCAAACATCCCATGAAGACGGAAAGGAGTGGCTGAGGTCGCATTCAACAGGAGGCCTTCAGGACACCGGGAGCCAGTCCCCGCTTTCTCCTCCAGGAGCTGCTTGCGTCAACACTGGAAAATACCACTACTCCAACCTCCGTTAGTCTTCAAAATTACCTAATTACAATCTTAAACTGAGAATATATTTTTTTGGTTAACCTAGCACATAGATTTTCAGTTAGGGTCATGACCCCTCGATCAACCAGTGTGGAGCCTTGAATCCACAACAGAAATTAGACTAAACAATAAAAAGTTAAACTGATGCTGTTTGTTATATTATTACATCCATGGTTAGTTTATTTTTTAGAAAAGTTTGTATACCGTTTGGGTCATGAGTTGATACTGCTACAATTTTGTGGGTAAGAACTTGAAAAGTTTGGGAACATTTCACCTAGAAGACTAACTTTGTTTTCCACTGTAAAACCATTTAAAACACTTTCTTTTATGTTTCTACAAATATAAGGAAGGTCCTATGGACTTCAAACTATATTTTTGATTCCATATTACACCCAAAATAATCCAGTGTAGACTTTATCATTATTTCCACTCATATTTAAAGCATGATAGTTGAAAACAGTCTGGATTCACTTAGAAACAACAAAAAGAATCTTATTTTGATGGAAAGCAGTTTTAACCATTATTAGCAGCAGTGTGTCATTATTTCCTTTTTTTAGACCAAAAAAGTGTTTCAAGCCAGCGTTAATGTAGCGAACTCACCCAGGACCCGTCTTTATATGTACTGGGTGGTTCATCATAAAATATTCGCTATTGTATATGTACAGAACCCTTAAAAATGAATATTAAAGCAATAAAAAAGGTAATTTTTTTTTTTTTGCATCTAATTCCTTTGCAGTGAGCCCAACCAACATCAACCAGTATAACCTGCCACCAGGCAACAGCAACAGCAGTAGCATGAGCCGCTCAAACAGCATCCCTGCTCAGGACTCCTTTGACCTGTACGGTGAGGGTCACCCACTAGGGGGCAGCGCCACCTCCCTGGAGGATCGACCCCGGGTCATCAGCCGCTCGGGCTCCTTCCGAGACAGCACTGATGAAGGTAATTAGAAATACTTACTGCAGCTGATTAAAAGTTATCTGACTAAATGAAGTGAAGAAGGTCTTATCAGTCCTTAAAATATGCCTGAAATTAAATCAAGAGGATTCTTCTTTGTAAGTTTAGCTTCATTGCTTGAATGATGAGAATTATCTACCCTGTGTGTCTTGCAGTCCATGGCTCATCCTTGTCTCTGGTCTCCAGCACATCATCACTTTATTCTGCGGTGAGTCGACGCATTGGATTGGTTTGGTATCGATTTTTTATAAATCACATAAAACATTTATAAAATACAATTCGATGGCTGTAATGTTTGCTTATTGTAAAGCGAAATGATATTCAGCTGATAATATTATATCTCTATGCCCTTATAGATAATTTTTTTTATTTCTTAATGTTAAATTGGAAAATTCTTGAGCCCCAGCTGCCAAAGTAGCCTCAGTAGATAAGACTGGAATACTGCTATGGTTTTTAAAAGCACTGATCTCGCCTCAGTCGCCCCAATCAGACTGCAGATTAGTCATGAGCAGAACTGATTACCATATTCTCCTGCCTCATTACTGCAGCTTTAAAGTAGCAAAGTCTTACTTTGCTAAGTTTTTTTTGAAATGGTCAAACGAATTGATTCGTTTCATAATAAACAGAATGCATTTCCCATTTAGTTTTCTGACAGATTTTCTCTCCTTCACGGTCTGGGATGGTATTTTCTTCCCTAGATATCTTGATTCCAATTAGTTTTTAAAGTTATCTTCCATTCTTACCATTTAATAGCTTCTTCTGATGCTTATTCTAATTTGTCACATGGAATGTGAAACACATTTCTGGGAGGCGGTAAATAAATGCGTCTCTGCGACTGTCTTGCAGACTGAGGAGAAAGCTCACTCTGAGGTAAGACTGAGGGACGGCATAAGCATTTCTCTGTCTGCATGCTTCCTTTATGCCACATAGTCCTTGAAATCACTTGTGCTGCTTTGCATTTGTCATCAGAGCTCCACCTTAGAAAACTCCATTACACCCCTGTATAAGTCCTGATAATGAAAAACCTTGCAGATGTGATGTTGTTGGTTTGATTTGCTGATAATAACCTCACCAATGAGCAGAGAAGTTGGTAAATCCTGACGGGTTTCCAACTTGTGAACGGATTTCCAACAGAAGGCAGCAGTTTAAAGATTTTACCCAACTACAGATTTTCTCTGGTTTTATTTTTTCTGTAAATGTTTCAGGGTAATATATTGAGTATAAAAGGGAGAAAATATGAAATTCCTTTTAAAAGGATTTCATTTATTGAAGGGAAAAGGGTGTAAAAATAAACTCCAAGCCAACCTAAATCTGTAGGAGGGCAGATACCTTTTAACTGCACTGGAATGAGCTTATTTTAGCTGCATGCTAGTTTCATATAAAGCCCAAACCCAGCATGTTGATCCCTCTTTCAGGTCTGCAGTGGCTGTTTGCTCGTGTTTGAATGTCTTGCATGTTCTACCGTCCAGATCTTGTAGGCAAATTTTGCCGAATGCAAAAGACCTTGGGCTGAACCGCCCCACAAAAGCTCATTTGAGCTCCAGCTTTTTTAAGTTTGACAACACAACAGTTTAACTCTATGTTGCATTGCTTTTTATGGTCTTCAAGTGAGTTCTTTAAAAGTATATAACGTTTTCTTCTTTATTATTACAAAAATAACACAACTTGCATCCACCACACTCTGATTTTCAGTCTTTCTATTTTCTATTTTTATTTATTTGCTTTAAGTTTGGGTCCAAGAGTAGCAGCAAATGCAGTCTGAGATAAAGGGGGTTTAGATTCTAGGAAATCAGTAGAAACGGCAAAGTTGTTATTTCCCCTAAAACTACCAAAACAATTCTGATTAATTTAAAAATGCATTTTAAATTTAGAAAAAAAAAAAAGGATCCAGATGAGTAAAAGTCAGAAAAGCTGCCTAAAAAGCAACAACACCATGAAAAGTATTCAAACCTCCTGAGTTACCCATGTTTTTGCTTCTACTTTAAATCCAAATTAAACATAAAGGATGCTTTTAATGTGAAAAAAATATATAAATATAACTCAAGGGGCTTATATCTTCCTTTTTCATGAAATAACATGATAAAAAAGTCAGATCTTTGCTTTGAATTAAAGCAAATTGAGTCTTTTGACTGATCATCCTTTTCTGCCTTACAGTGGAAACCAGATACGTACATAATTGTATTTAGTCTAAAAATACATTTTCCTTTTTTTTCTCACTGCCTGATATATCAGACTGACCTTTATTTGTTCAAATCTGCTAGGATTACCAAAGTTGGTTCTGCTCATAAATGGCAGAATAAATGAGGTAGAATTAGCTAATATTTCCTTTTAGTTTCTTGACAACTTTAAGCACTTCCTGATAAATCTTGAACTTAAAGCATTTTGGTATGATTGCCATCATTACATAAAAGTTGATGCTACCGAACTTCAGGACACCTACTCTGAGGTACGGCGGTGGCTGCATCATTTGGTGGGAATATTTACACCATATTAGACTGGTGCACTTCACAAGATAGAGGAAATCATAAAGAATTGTAGAATTATTGAAGCAAGATCTAAACATGCGCCATAAAGAGAATATTTTAAAATTGTTTTAATTCACTGTTGAGGTTTAGTTTCATATACTTTGGTAAACTATATTTATCTATATTTTAGAAAGCAGTAAACTGAAATAGCTGAACTTTTGTTTTATGTAGCAACACTGTAAATACTTAACTTACGGTATTATTAGTTGATCACAAATTAGTCTTCAACTGTTATCATAAAGCCAAATTGCTAAGAAAGCATAAACCTGTTTTATTTAAAGGGGCATAGTCGTGTTTTATTCGATTTTTTTTATTGATTTTTAAATGCCAGTGGCTCATTTGGGTTACATACAACGTTTTTCTAAAAGATTCCTGCTTCCTGCCATATTATTAGTGATTTTTATGTTTTGCGCTTTGTTTTTGCTCAGTTTGTTTGTAAAAAAAAAACAAAAAAAACAAAAAAGAACCTTTATGTATATTGGAAACTGATAAGCCTGACAGGATAAAGCTGGAAATGCTGTATGAAATGTATGTTGGTGTTCGCAGAAGCTAAAGCTGTGGAGGATTTTGGTTGTGGTGGCTAAGTTAAAGGTATAGTGGAGGAGATTATTTTTCTGGGCGGATCATCAGAATATGTCGTCCTCCTAATTGTCAATAATTCTGGTGATATGTTTACATAAAGCCGTCCTACGTTCTCGCCCCCATTTTTATTTACCGGTGGTGATTCTGACATAGAGGAGCGTGCACGAGGAGAAATGGGCTTGTGCACGCTCTCACACCTTTAATAGGCGTTCCCTCTCAGGACCGGGTACAGAGTTAAGCATGTGCATTCTTTTTAAAGTGGAGAAGGCAGGTCTTTTCAAAAATTCACAAAAATCCTCCACTATACCTTTAATTGAAGTTGATGAGTGATAGCAATGCTATTCTTAGTCTCTACAGTCTAAGTACAAACAATATTATAGATTGATTAAATGATTGATTCTAAATGCTCTGTTTTTGTTTTTGTATGTTGGGAAGAGGAATCTTCTTTCTCCTTGGTGGGGAGGATTCACTAGAACTTAGATTTGCTGTAGATTGATTTATTTAGTTCATATTGCTTGGTCTATATGACCTTATTTTAACATTATCTATTTTTGTGTAGGCCTATAACCTGACTATGCCCCTCTTAAAAAGTTCAGTTCATAGAAATGGGTGAAAATTATCGCAAATCATAGTAAAAAGCTAGTTAAAGAAAACCACAATTATTTGAAGCTAATTTTATCAGATAATAAGAAAATGTTTATGAAAATTTTTTCTTATTATTCTGACTTTTTTTCCAGAGGGAATCCTTTAGGTAATCCTAAGTGAGCTAAAACAGAAAAGGTTTGGTTGTTTTGCGTCACACAGTGAGAATAAAAAAAGGTATTTACCTTTTTATGCAGTGTATGTAAATATCTGGTTAGAACTGTACGATATACTTTCTGGAAACATTTTCAGGTATTTGCAGGTACTATTGAAATCTGAAATCCATGCCTCTTTTGCTTCGCTGCTCGTTCTGCTTACGCCTACCTGGGTGTGATTTGTTTAGTGGCGTCTCTTCGCCCAATCCATTTCTGTTTGATGTAAGCAAGCAACATAGTGTTAATTTTGACTCTTTTCTTTTCAATCAAGGGCCAAACAGTCCAAAATTCCACGGTAATCCCCCCTCACTTTACGTTTCTACATTGTTTTTGACACACTTTATTGTGTAGCTGCTGTTTTTTCTTCCCCCATTGATGTTATCAACATGAGCATGGCAAGTTTGATCTGTTTACACGGGATGATATTCACCTCTGCCATCTTTTCCCAAACCAGCAAATCAGGAAGCTGCGCCGGGAGCTGGACGCCTCTCAGGAGAAGGTGGCGACCCTCACGTCTCAGCTGGCTGCCAACGTGAGTTTTTTTAAAGGATGCTGTTAAACAGGCGGCTCATTTCCATAAGAACCTCCTGTTGGAGCACAGCTAGTGTCAAATGTGGATGCATTAGAAATCTGGCCTGTGTCTGTTTTTGTTCCTAAAATGGGATATGTATTTGTTTTAAACCTTCTGTGCAGATTAACTCAGAACACACATTTTTTTCCTAAAAAGACTCATAGAAATACCTGAGGGGGGAAATGGAAATAAAACATTTATTTTGTTTTGAAATCGTGGCAACAAGATCCCTGATCCACCAAACAAAGTAACAAACTAAGCTGCAGCTAAAAAACAGAGGTGTCATATTATTTAAGTATAATATTAAGTGGAAATATTATACTTAAATGGAGTAATAATTTGGTAGACAACTTTTTACTTCTATGCCTTACATCGTTTTGGAACTATCTCTACTTTCTACTACTGAAATTTAAAAAATAGAATCACCTATTTTTGTTTCATTTAAGCTTAATTTCGTAATGGCCTCTTGGTGTATATATATATATATATATATATATATATATATATATATATATATATATATATATNTACTTGAGTAAAAAGCTTAAGTTGATACTCTAACTTCTATCAAAGTGTTTTTAAATCAGGATTTTACTTCTACTTGATAATAAATATTAATACTTTTGACACCTCTGAATATTTATGATTCTCCTGTAGCATCAGCTGTGTGTTTAGGTGCAGAAACAGATTTTTCAGTCTGATGCAATTCTGGAAACATAACAGTGAAGGACACTAAACGCTTTTCTCTACACTGATAATATCTTTGCCATTTGATTTTATGCATTTTTATTCATTGCTGTTGGGTTTTTTTTTTTTTTTTTTTTAGAAGAAAGTGCTTCATTATAAAAGGAAAGATGCCAAACGATGAAATTAACATGAAAGTAATCAAGGATTCAGTTAGCTGATGTATAAGTTAAGAAGTTTTCTAGGGGAGATTGGTTAAACAGTAAGAATGGCTGCAAAGTGTGGGTTAAAAATTATAAATATGATCAGGAGAGTGGCAGCCTAGTGGTTAGGGCATAGGGCTTGGAATTCTGAGGTTGTGAGTTTGAAACCCACTCCCACAGACTGCCACTCTGGCTCTCTGAGCAAGACCCTTAACCTTAATGGAAGGCCACTGCTTCCCTAAAGGATGGGTTAAATGCAGAGGTAAATTTCTCCAGTGTGAGATCAATAAAGTTCAATTATTTATTATTATATATTAAAGCAAGTTCTACTTCAAACTCATTTTCTTAGCTGTCACTAACCTTCTGGTGTAGCTGTAGTTAACTGCATTCATGGTTCTTGGAAAAAATATTTAATCTAATTCAAACTGGTTGGTTTCTGGGCAAATATGAGGCTTTTAGGTTTAGCATGAAAATGTTCAATAATGTTCTATAAGCTTAATGTTAGTCTGTTTTGTTTTGACCAACGCTGTTTAAATATGTGCCTTTGATTGATGTGCAGCTATGGCACTTCAAAAGCTCACACAAGACCTGCTGCTGCCCTCGATGAAAAGCCAAACGTCTTTTGGTGAAACGTTTCCTCTTTTAACGATAGGTTCAAGAGAGGCAGAGATTTTTTTTTGTCGTGTTTGAGCTTAAAACTGCCAGTTAGATGTAGGAACCCTGACCTTGAACCTTTTTATTAATGTGTGGACTGCTCCTTAAAGCTGGATCTCGGAAACCTTTTAGTTTTGTTTAGGTTCTTTAATTCTTATATGAGGTGTGGCTTAATATTTTAATAATATTTTCCCAGAATTCAGCCTATTTATTCGCCATCATTTGAACAGACATGTGCAAAGGTGTTATTTGCATAGACACCTTATAAATGTTTCCTCTCTTATACAAATATTTCACACAAACAAATGTGGTATTTTTTGAGCTGTCTGGGTCTCCAACAGAGCATCTAGTGTCTCATATAAAGTCTTTTCATCTTCAAACTGGTGTCTGCTGTACTATATGAAATTTAAATGTCATCTCAGTTTGAGTGTGATTTGTTCTTAAAGCCTTTTTGACATTATCAGATAGATTTAAAGATCATCTTCTGGCATTAAAACGTTGAAGGATTTTCCCAGCCTTGGTGAGGTTGGATCTTCCTTTAACTGCAGTTGAACAAAAATAACCTGCATCTACTTTTTTAAGGAGAGGGAGATGTTCACCTCTATATTTCCGAAGGTTTTTTTTTTAAACCTCTCCAAATGAATTATAAAGGAGTCTTCTTAGGCCAGAAGGAAGTTAGCTCCGGGAATTGTTGTACCATGACAAGTTGCCACCAGTTCAGTAGGTTCAGCTGACACATTTCCAGGCTCTTAACTATTTCTGTTATCTGTTAGTAGCATCGTATCAAAGTTGAAACAATAAGGGGAAAAAAGGGACTTAGGAGTTCGAGGCCATGGAAGATCACAGAATAGAGCGTAAAGAGAAAGAAATGGTGCAAAAGTGAGAGCTGGTATTTAAAAGCCTTCATAAATTTTTTTCGGGCTACAGATTATTCTGCAATTCTGTGGGTAGAGAGCTTCATGGTAAAGATTTCCCATAGCCAAGTAGCTGCATCCAAAACTTTGATCACCAGATCCAACGCAAAACCAAGAATGGTGATTGGTATGCCATTGCTAGACCTTAGGGCACTCAAGAATTGGCCATTTCCTCTGTTTTTGTTAGTTGGCAGTACTTGCCTAACAGCAATGTGCCATGTGTTTTGTTTCTTGGAGGAAGGATTATAATGTGGGGATACTTACTAGTCAAGCTTCGACATCTGAAGACAATTAGATGATCAAATGTTCTTTATTTTGTAGGGACAGTTGAGGGATGGCCTCATCGTGAATATTGTAGATTTTGGAGTGAACTGACCTGACTGGACAGCACAGAACCCTGACCTCAACATTAAAGAGGACCTTTGGGAGTGTGATCTCTCCCTATGTTGTCTTCTGGCCTTGCAAAGGCTGTTCTAAACCTTAGTAAGAGCAAATGCAGAGAAGTTGGGAAAACCATTGTGCTGGCAGAAAATGACACGGAAGTAATGTTTAAGCCTTGTCTTACGATAAAGTAGACTGTAATTAGTCCTTTAGATATTTCTCGGCACTTAACTGTTTATTGCTTTGTTAAGAGTAGGTTTTGATTTCTTTATTTTAAAAGTTGATTCTTAATTAGTGACATAATCACACCCTTAAATGGTGCTTCTAAGGCACCTCTTTATCTCAATACTTCACTAGAACACGTTAGAGCAGGGGTACTCGTCAGTCCTCTAGTGCCACTGTGCTGCAGCTCTTGCTTGCATTCCTGCTCCAACACACCTGAAACCAAAGGTCAAATTACAGTCTTGGCATGTTGTTAAGTTTAGCAGAGGCTTGGCCATTAACAATTATTTTATTTCAGGTGTGTCAAAGAAGGGATGCATGCAAAACTTCAGGACAGTGGGACTTAAGGCCTGACATTGCCTACCTGTGCCCTAGAGTTTAGCATATCTTCCACTTGTCTTCATCAAAGGCATTGACCTTAACTTCAAGAAGTGCATAGATCAGTTCAGGTTTAGGCTGGAGGAGTAGGGTAAGCTGCGCGTTTCTGAAATGCAAGGCTGATTAGTACCTCCTTCAGTGGAGACAGGTGGTCTGTAGGGGTGAGGAGTCAGAGCTCACAGGTGGATTTGGAAGAGGAAGCAATTGGTAATAGGAGGAATGAGAGGAGTTGGCATTTCGAAAGGTCGAGACCCTCACGGATTCAGTGCTGGAAGCTGAGTCGACTTGGCATTGTTGGGTTTTCCTCTTCGCTTGTTTATTTTTAGACTTACAGTACTTTAGAGCCATAGATGGGGGCGTTCTTGTTTTCCTTTGACAGTTCATGCAGACAGAAGGGATACTGATAAAATGTGTGCAAGCCAGTGAATTTGTGTGATAGCCTGACATCCTCTGATCTGTCCAGGCATGCAGCCCATCTTTCTGTGACAAACACCGGGCTTGACAGGTGTCTCAGAGTGTCTGGCTAAGGATGACAGGAAGAGCAGGCATTGCATACGTACAACCTCTCACAGACACACAAATCATTGCAGGATAAATGTTGCTGTCGTAGACATACAGCTGTACCAGGTTGCATCCTTAAACACAGCTCATCAAATTATGAGGCATGACGAATCCTAGAGCGACGCGGTCCTGACCGACAGATTCAGCAGGACAGATGGTCCGATTTTCCCTAACCCGCTGCCAACCTTAACATGTTGCTGCTGCATCCTCTGGTGACTGATTGAGTCATGGAGAAAAGCCCTTCTTTGATTGGTTTGTAGAGTACAGCCTTCATACTATGATACAGATCTATTTTTCCAAAATCTTGAGCACATGGGCAGATTTTTATTATTTCTTTTTTTGACACATTGTGTTTCAGAGTATTCAAACCATTTTCACATTAGAATTACAAATATTAATAAAATAGGCAATTATTTGTCCTTTTTAAGTTGAGGTTTGATTACAATTAGACTTTGACTAGACCATGGCCATTTCTCGATTCGCAAGAATGCGAGGACAGACTCTCGTGAAGTATGTTCTTGAGAAGAACACTGGAGGGTATGGACTTGGGGAGAACGGGAGCATGAGGCAAAAATATGGGTCAACTAGAACAGAAGGGTACTAGTGACATCACCACAGGCTCATGTTAACCTCGTGTTATTTTCATTTAGTGGGGGAATAATAATTAACAATCAGATAAACACAAATCAAATAAAAATTTTGCACAATAAAACAAAAAATTGCCATCAGAGACAGCAGTATTTTACCCACAGCTATGCCCAGAGAGGGCTGCTGCAGAGGGGCTAACGTTAGCCCTGGCTGCCGTTAGCCTCGAAGGTCCAGTGGTTGTCGTGGTCCTCTCAACTTCGGAAATTGTTTTTATTTATTATGCATTAAATCGATAAATGGACCATATAGTGACACTTTAAAGTATAGTATTTTCGTCTCAAATGATCTTAAAATGTACTTTTATTGAACAACAGCAACAGAGAAGAGCAACACAAACAGCAACACAAACCTGTGTTGCTGTATTAGATTCAACTCTTGACAAATTTGTTTATGAAGTAGATGATGTGATATGAATAGGCAGAGATGTTACCTTTTTCATCATTAGTTTCCTTTTTTAAATTTGATTTATTCTGAAACAAAGTCAAAGCATTTTTATGCAGATGGCGTTTCTTTGTGTGTCTGCAGGCTCACCTTGTGGCAGCCTTTGAGAAGAGCCTCAGCAACATGACCTGCCGCCTACAGAGCCTCACCATGACTGCCGAGCAAAAGGTACGAGAAGCACAACAAACTTCCTTAAGAGGAAGCAGAAACTGGTAGGAAATACAGGCTACAAGAGCTAAACAATAAGTTCCCTATATCAGCATCAATGCCTTTAGCTCACAGGGCTAACAGGACCTCCTTTTAATCCTCTGGATGTTAAAGCAGACTGATGGGAGGCCTTTGACAAATAATGCTGTTCTAACTTTTAATTAAACAGCATCGCTATCTGCAGCTCTCAGTCGGCTGTGGTGGAAGACAAAGGAGGAGGTTCCTTCTCCCATTCAATGTTAACTTATTTTATCCCTCAGAGCGAGGCGCTGGTCCAAGATCTAATGGGAAAACTTTTCCAGCTCCCTTTCCGTTTCATTAAAAGTATGGTCAAAGCCAAACTTAGAAAACTTCATCACAACAGAGTAGCTTATGTGTTATGTGATGATTTACAAAAAAAAAAAGTCTGGTTATTGTCTTTCCATATTTGTTTTTTTTTTTTCTCTTGAGGTTACAAAGATGCATAGTTAGTGTTTCTTTGATGCTAAAATGAGAACCTCCTGTTCTTGTCCTCTTTTTTCCTGTTCCAGGAGTCCGAGTTAGCAGAGTTGAGAGAAACCATAGAGATGCTGAAGACCCAGAACACAGACGCTCAAACTGCGATCCAGGTGGCGCTGAACGGACCGGACCACCTGCACAAAGGTAATGAAGCCAGCAGCTTCCTGAACCATGACTGTTGTAGGTGTTCTTCTGCTGCATGAAGCTTTAAGCATGACTGTGAAAAGTGTTTTCCTTCCTGCTGAATGTTTCTTATTTGAACAGTTTAAGATAATTTATCATGTGATAAGTTTAGACAAAAATAATAGTGTTCATACAAACAGGGTTTTCTGTAAAAGAAAACAATTTCTCCCTTGGTGAGTAATGAGTGGATTTTTTCCTACCACACAAAAGACCATTAGACCTGTAAAGAAAGAAATACAACATGTAGAGCCTGTGTGGCAGAATCAATAAGCTAAAAGAACTCAAAAGATAACTAATCACTACCCAAACTTAAAAAAACATAAGAGCAAATCAGGGGATCTGCAGTCAGTCTATGGAGTGAATTGTGTTCCATTATTATTACAAGAAAAGAACACTTTTTGTAAATAGAAATTTTACAAAAATATTATCCAGAAATGAAATTCTGAAAAAGTTCTTAATAAAAAAAGGTTTTAAAAATAAATTCTCTGCTTTCATTTTTTAACGTTTTCTCAGATGTTATCTTTTCAAATAATTGGGATTTTTTTTTTTTTTCAAAGATCATATTCCAATTTTTAAAAACCTTTTTTCATATTTTATTTTATTCTGTTTTAAATTGAGTTTTGTAACTTGCATTATTTTCATACTGCATTTTAAAGATCACCTTCTTTTTCCTTCTACGAGTGGGCTTTCCCCTAAAGAACTAAGCAAATGCTAGCATCAACATTTTTATTGGTCCATGTGTGCATCAAAAGCAAGTATTTGTATTAAGAATGTGATCTTTTAACAAAATCAGAAAAGAATAAAATGCGGAAAACTCGATCTGAAAAGGAGAAATAAAAAGATAACCTAAAAATATAAAAATCTGTTTTAAAAAATATTAGAAAATCAAAAAGTGTTAGAAGAAAACATAAATATATATATATATTTGAGGAAAAAAGCAAAGTTTTTCCTGATTACAAATTTTTAAACGTGTTATTTCAGAATTATTATTATTATTATTATTATTATTATTATTTTTTTTTTTTTTTCAAAATTTTTATTTACAATAGATGTTATTTTGCTTACAATAATGATGAAGCAAAATTCACTTCATGTATGTCCATATCTGAATGGTTTTTAAAAATAAAAGCATGGAATAGCCTTTATTTTTTGTGGGACATTATGACGTCACCTTAAACTGACCCTTAATGCTGGAAAACCTGCATGTATGATTTAAACTGTTGAGTAAATAAGCTTCATTAATTATCTTTTCACATTGAAGCAGGATTGTGTGGGATTCTTTTCCCTCAGATTCAAAAACCTTCTGTTATCTTGATTGAATATTAACAATTAGTTTGATCTGAAACATTTAGGTGAAACAAAGAAACTTTAAGTAATCCTCTTTACACTGGAAAAAGATAAGTAATTAGATAAGTAATTTTTTCTTAAAATAAGTGCATTTGTTCTTGGATTGAGGAAGTAAAACAGACATTTTGCCAATAGAACAAGACAATTTACATTTGAAATAAGAAAACACAATTGCATTGCCTTTATTCAAGTGCATATTATCCAGTTATCTTATTTTAAGAGTAAAAATACTCATTCCATTGGCAAACTATCTCATTTACACAAAATAAGGGTAAATAAACTTAATTAGGAGAGACATTTTTTACTCATTTCTAGATTGTTTTTCCAGTGTAAGAGGAGAAATACTTTTCCCAACCATGGTATATTCTGCAGCCTCAGTCAGCAGCAACAGTAACGCTGCCTGATGACCTTTATATGCACCAGTCTGACTGTATATCGCTACAGACTCTTAAAAACGGCAGAAGCTGTCACGTCAGCTCATCGGCTTAGCCTTTTTCCGCACTGAGGAACATTTTGTCTGTCTCCATCAGACCTTCGGATTAGACGGCAGCACTCGTCAGAAAGCATGTCCAGCATCAACAGCGCTGCCAGTCATGCCAGCATGGGCAGCTTGGGCAAGGATGCCGAGGATAAAAAGAAAAAGAAGAAGAGCTGGGTAAGTGGAGAAAAGAAAGACATTACCATGAGAATTACAGTCGGGGTTTAGGACGGCTTCTTCTACTGGAAGTACAGTCACAGAAAGTACTCAGAGTTTCAGGAGCTTGAAGAATCAACTTATTTTCCATATGATGTCATAAATCGTTCTGGTCTTTATGGTCAGATTTAGGATTAAAGCAGTTTATTAATGCCGCCTCAGCACTTCCTGTCTGAGGTCTTGCCTTTGACGTAGCTGTCGCAAAGATTTTCTCTCTTTGGTTGCAGTTTATACGTTATGCAGTTTTTCTAAACTACTGAAAGTTTGCAACCTACCCAGGCTCTCTGGCTGCAAAACAGGCCCATATCATCACACCTCCACCACCATGCTTGTGTTTTCCACCTTTTGTTTGATGGACAGCAGCTGCTTCTTTCTTTTTGTTGCTGATGTCTTTCCTTCTTGCCGTTACAGTAGCAGCCATTCAAAATGACCCTTCCCAGTCAAACGCCAGCCGAATGGCAGCCAACTTCTCTCCAACTTCCAGCCACTGGAGTGACCCCCTCTTGCATATTTTTTTTACTCTTTCACTGAATTACAGGGTCTGACCAGGAGATGACGCTTCTCTTTAGATCTTAATGTCCACAAATCATGACAGAAAGAATATTTTATTTGCTACTACTATATGTTTTTGCATACAGATGTCCCTTTTGTATAAAGATCACTTAATAATTAAATATTATTAAGATATTAATAAATATTTTTTTAGAAATCCAGCATTTGCCTGATAACTTTGCTCCCACATTTTATAGGGGAGTCAATGTTGTATTTAAATTTTCCAGAAGCATAATAATGGCTGTTGAAATGTCATTCTTATATATCTATGACTGCAAAAGGACGCCTGCAAATCCCCTTAATGGCAGGAGGCATATGGAGTGAATTTTGTTACATTTTGGTAATGTAAAATTGAAAAAAAAAAAAGGAAATTCAGAAATGAAACTTAAAATACCGGTAAGTTTTTAATGTTGTTAATGTCTCAATTTTATCAAATTTATTTTTGCAAATATCATCTTCAATGTTTTGAAAAAAATACAAAAATACAAAGTTTATATTTTAAAAATGTTTGTTTTTCCGTTTTTTTTTTTTTTTCAGATTAAGTTTAACACATTGCATTCATTCAATTTGCATTTTAAAGATCCTATTCTCTCCACTTCAAGCCCAAAAATAAATACTTAAAGACGTTGCAGACCAATAGAAATGGGTGTTTGCTCTTCACTTCAGGGGAAAGCCCGCCCCCAGAAGTGAAGAGAATGTGATCTGTACAACGCAATTTGAAAAGAATGCAATTTGTAAACCTCGCACTGAAAGAGAAATTTGAAATTGAAAGACACAACTATTAAAAAAATAAATAATTTTCAAAAGTAAAATCTGTGAGAACAGCTGGTTTTCTCAAAACTTGTTTTTGATTAAGAATTTTTTTCAATATTTAATTTCTGGAATACATTTTTTCTTAATTTTTATTTACAAAACATGTTCTTCCTTTGCAACAATAATGGAACAAAATTCACTCCATACAGGTAACACCAAAATATCCTCTGGGACTAAAACCTGAGCTTTGAATCAAACGTCTCTTTTTCATAATTTTCACCCAGTCCTTGCTGGAATACTGACTCTGGTTTGTCCTCTGCTCTGCTCCTTCACTATCTTAAAACCTCTGATGATTCCAGCGATATTTGACATTGTCTGTTCTCAGTGGCTGTTTTCAGTCTGGCCTCAGTTTTCCACTTCAATAAACTCTTTCAGATTATTCCTTTAAATCTGTGTTGAGAAGAACCTGCTGAAGCTCTGGCGAGGACTTTAAGGGCTTTATATACATTTCTCCTTAGGGTTCCTGTAAGTAGTGCAGCACAAAGATTTTCATCGCTGCAGACATCAGGAACCACATTTTCCTTCTGCTTGAAAATGTGTTTTAAAAGTCAGTAGTTTTCATTGGTTTCTGGGTAAGGTCCTTACTAGGAGCAGGAGGTTTTTAGATCAAGTCCATCACCAAGATCAGAAAGAATTTAACAATTTTAAGGTCATGACTTTCCCCCCCGTATTGTCAAGGACTGAAGGATCTGCTTGTATTTCCTGATCAGATATTGTTGCACAACATTTGGTCTAGTGAGGTCCATGTCTTTGGGGGTCAGGGATCCTGTAGGATTAGATAAGTGGCCATAAATTTTTGTCCATATTTAATTTTTCTGATCTGAATTTGTCCTCTAGATTGATTCCTCCATCTAAACAGATCCGGTTCCGGCTGGTTTGCTCTTCTGTAGCAGATCTGTTTGAATACCAGTCAAATATAACTTTATTAATCGTAGTTTCTGTCATTTCTCCTCGCTCCTCCATTTGTAATAACTCTACTTTCTCAGCCACGCTGTGTAGAACACAGATCTGAGCTGTTGTCGGTGTGAACATGTGTGTGTGTCTACGTTCCTTAACATTGGGTGTGTTCTGCATCTTCAGGTGGCTGATTCCATCCCGGCTCAGGTCAGTGGTCTCCAGAGTGTCTTGTGTTTCTTCGCCCCGCCTTCTTCCATACTCTTCTGTTTTTTTTTTTAAACGTCAGCATGGATTCAACAAACTTCCTCCCTTTGACCGTTAATTTTTTTTATTTTCTAATGCCTTGTTTGTTTTGATTGCCTGTTCTGCCCTAATTTCTAGCCTCCCCCCATTCTCATTTCTACTTACAGTCTTGTTTTCTGCCTCTTTGCCTCAAATAGAGCCTGGCCATTGCTTGGAAACAGCACGGAGTGACCCCCTGACCCTCCCAAGTAACGATGCTGTCTGAAACCTGGAGAGAAATAACACGCGCTCTCTGTTTCATGCATTGCAGTTGCGCAGCTCCTTCAAGCAGGCGTTCAGCAAGAAGAAAACCAAATCCCAGTCGGCCCACGACGAGATGGAGGAGATGACCGACTCGGTACCTTCCTCTCCCAAACTGCAGCATGACAACAGACAGGGTAGCGTTGCCACGCTGCGCTCCTCCCCCTCCACCACCGAGTGAGTTTGACATCATCAACAACACAAAGATACACTCTTGGGTTTTTGCTTTTGTCTCTTTGTGAAATTTTATTATTTTTTCCTGTTTTACATACATCCTTAAATTAACACCTCACTCATTCCCTCAACAACGTTCTCTCTCTCTCTCTATCTATCTCCTATCACTTGCTCTGAAATGTTCTCTGTCCGCTGTAGCGATTGCAATTGCGACAGCAAGTCCTCCACACTATGGACGGCAAAGAAAAAGCATAACGGTCATGTGGTCTACAAACACAGATCTCGGTAACAGGCTCTGAGGGGCATGCTCCATGGGAGTGTGTGTGCACTGGATTGTATTGGTGTGACTTTCTCTTTTCATGTCAGCGCCTTTAAATCCAAAGTGTCTGGGCACATTTTCACAATTTGTGATTTAAAAGCAACACTTGTTGTGTGTTTTATGTGATAGACAACACAAAGCAGTGCATAGTTATGAAATGGAAGATTAATTAGACAATTTATGGGGAAACATCACCTCCGTCATCAAAGAACAGATCTAATGAATTCAGTTTCACTCAATACAAATATACTTTATTAATACAAAAGGGAAATATGGATATTTCAAGTTGCGAATAAGTTTATTATTAAATTATTTTTTGTAAAAAAAAAAAAAAATCCCATGCTTTCGACATCTCATTGTCCCATCTTCTGTGTTGGAAATGCATTAATCAAAGAAGCAGCCATGATGCCCATTGTAACTCTGGAGGAACTGCAGACATCTTCTGCTCAGGTGGTCTGGTTAGAGGAGGGCATATTGAAACTTTTAGGCCATAATTCAAATATATAACCGAGCAATTCTCTCTGAATTAACAAAAACTCATAAGGTGGAGGTTTTTATTTCTTTAAAGCAATCCACAACAGGTTTAACGTGTTGACCTAAATATGTTGTAATTACTTCAAAAACTAGAAAAGCTCTCAGAGAGTGCAGAACTCCGCAAAGAAGCTAATTTGGCCCCCTGTTGTGATTTGCGCCTATAGCTAAAACTTGCACAGAATCTGGATCATTAATTAATTTTAATAAATTGTTCTTTTGAGTGAAGAACCTCTGGTACAAAATGTCCATAAAATCAGTTCATAAGTTTTCAGTTGATCCTGCCAACAAATCAACAACATTTTTGTGTTCAGTAAAATACCTCTGGACTTTTTCAGCTTTGGAATCAGTTTTTGAAGGATTAGACATGTGATTTTCATTGAAACGTGAGCAGGAAGAAGCTCTACTATCATTCATTTTTAAGAAGGATGTATTCGCCGTTTTACCGACAGGCTGTTTGTTTCCACTCCCCCACCAGCTTTCTGTCGCTCTTACTATGTCACAGTCAGTAGCACTCATTGGTCAGAACGTTGGCAGGTTGATGAGAACAACGGGTTGTTCTCATCAACAATCTTCCGATGTCTCATTCATTGGGGCCAGACTAAATTACACATTTAATCTCACATTTAGTCTGGTTTATCAGGTAAACAAAAATGTGCTTTATTTTCTTTTGCACTCGTGGGAAATTATCCATTTTATTTTTAAATACTGAAAAATCTTTTCTGTAAAGATTTTAAAAAATAGGTTAGTTTTCCTGCTAAAATACAATAACTTTTTAAATTTCATCTGCTAAAAACTTGATTCCATCTCATATTATTATGTTCTAATATGTGGTTGTCTATCACAGTAAATTCCCCTGAATTTAGAAAATTTCAAGGAGTATAAATACTTTTAAAAAGCAATGTAGGTTGAATAACGGGTGAAAAATATGGCCGGTCAGCATGCAGCTGCTGCTGTGAGGCAGCTGGTGGGTTTACTTCAGTTTAACACGTCGGGCGTAGTTTTCCTCTGTCGTGCAGGAGGTTTGGAGACATGAATGCATGTTTTTGACTTAAGAAGGAAAAAAGACAGCTTTCTTTCCATCCAACCAGCTTTGTAGGGAGAAGATTCACTGGAGCGATTCTCTTTTTCAAATCCTCCACTTCCTCACTGACGATCATTATCACGCATCTCCCTTCTAAAGTGAAGCTTCCCTGTTTCCTTTCAGCATATTCACTCCAGGCTGTGTGTGCTGTGTGTGTGTTTAGTTCAACCCTAGAGGTGACACAACTCCCCCCCCCCACTCCTCTTCCCTGTGTGTAATCACTGTTCCAGGCTGTGCGAATGCACCGAAGCCGAGGCTGAAATCATCCTGCAGCTGAAGAACGAGCTCAGAGAGAAGGAGCTCAAGCTGACAGACATCCGCCTGGAGGCGCTCAGCTCTGCTCACCACCTGGACCAGATCCGAGAGGCCATGAACCGCATGCAGGTGAGACTGGAACCAGCCAATCTAACCAGGGTTGACAAATATGTCAGGCACAGCTGCTGTTTGTTTCCTTCATTCATTAAAAAAAGAAGTTTATTAATCAAATATTAAAAAGTAGACCTATGGAAAAAAAATCTGTTATAGAAACATCAGGAAGGTTGTTATCTTGCTGAAATGTTTCATCACTTTTAATCCCAGATGTTAGCTGGTAAAAATGGGCAAAACACATCAAATAAATCAGTTAATTAAGGATGTTCCTATTTCCACACAGGGCCAGAATGGCTTGGATAGCTTTTTTTCATATAATCCTCTACAGTACTCATAATGATGCCAAACAATACAAAAATATTTTTGATGTTTTTATCACATAAAATAAACCAAGTAAACATAATGAAGTCATTTTTTTAAAATTTTTTTTTTTTTTAGGTATTTTTGTTGACTTTGATTTATCATTTGGCAACACTGTACGGTAGTGGAGATGATTATAAACAAGTGATTTTGGTTAATTTTTGTAAAGACCTTTATTTAACAACCCAGGTTATTTTGTAAACAGTCCAGAGTAACAAGAACTGTTGACAATTGAATTTATTTAAAACTTAAAAACAAAAGATATTTTTCAACATTTTGAGTATCTTCATGATGCTCTGTATATCTTACTACATCTGGGAACTTATGTTCCAATATAGACATATGTAGTATGAAAAGGACTCACATAATTTTAACAGACCCTAGTGGATCAGTGCATGTGATCAATACTATATGATGATAATCTCAATAGTACAGTGTTAACATATGGCAAATATAGCACATTAAACCTTAGCAGAGTGAACTTATTTCATTTATTGATGAGTACTTATTTTTTCCCATCCAAAAACACCATAAAACTACTTGTTTTCATGATTTTTGAGATCTCAAAATATGAATACACCCTGGAAATACATCTGCAGAAAAGGGCATCGACATTCCATCAAATTGTACAAATATAAACCGTGCTATTAGTTCCCTTATGGTTGTCTTTCAGTGCACTAGATCTTAAAAGTGGACGTATTTTGTTATCAAATGGCAGCATTGTACCATACTGGGATAAAACATAGAAACCCCTGGGTAGACTGGGATTTGGTTTTCTCCATGCTGAACGCCTGCTTAAAGGAGCTGTCCAACTGCAATGTATGAAACAGAGAGCGTGTGTTACTTTTCCCCAGGTTTTAGACAGCATCATTATCGGAGGGGGGGTCAGGGGGTCACTCCTTGCTGTTTCCAAGAAATGGCCAGGCTCTGTTTGAGGCAAAGAAGCACAAAGCAAGACTGTAAATTCAATCTGTACCTGCTAGAAATTAGGGCACAACAGACAATCGAAACAAACAAGGCAAAGTATTTATTTGATTTTTTTTCCCCTCACTATAAAATATTCATTTAAGATTTTCCATCACTCAAATAACCAGTAATGCCGCACTTTGTAGATCCTGATTATCTAGTTTCTAGCACCTCTAGTCTGCTCTTAGATCTGGGGATCATCTGATATTCTTTATCTGAGGTTTAACTTCAGTACAAAAGAGGGTTTTTAGAGAACAAAGACCCTCTGGGTTTATAATCTCTTAGCTGCTAACTGTTGGAGCTGCTGTCACACAAGGCTTTGGTTTAATGCTGCTTCCCTTTGATATTTAATTTTTTTTGTATTATTTCTACATCTTCACAGAATGAGATCGAGACGCTGAAAGCAGAGAACGATCGCCTCAAGTCGAGCGGGAACGCCACACCCACGATGACTCCTGTCAAGATGGCCAGGCCGCCCTCAGAGGCCTCCAGCACCTCCTCATCCTCGTCACGGCAGTCGCTCGGACTGTCGCTCAATAACCTCAACATCACCGACTCCATCATGTCTGGTGAGTTGACTGTCAGACCCATCGATCAAGGGTGCCAAATAGAATCAAAGCTCAAATGAAATGGTTGTCAGCTTTAGACTGAAGACTGTTTGAATTTGCTCTCCTCAAACCCTCTTGAACCTTTTATTTTGTCACGTTTCAACTAACAGACTAAATTTTTTGCGCTCGCCAATGAAACATTGATAACGAGAAAACCAAAACTGGACTACATGCAAGACTCTAAACACAACATCATCACAGGAAAGCATGGTGGGGGCAGCATCATGATCTGGGGCACTTTCTTTTAAAAGATGGATGGGGCTAAACAGAAGATATAAGGATAAAGCACACCTCGGATTATGAAGACTAAACACAAATGGACGCCACTTTTTCAACTCACAATAATGTGCTACTTTCTGTTTGTCGTTCTATACAAATAACATATATTAATGGCACACAGTTGAATTCTATACCTGTCCAAAAACATTTGATCTTGATCAAATTATGTTATATAAACAAAGCATCCGTCCTGATATTGTTTAAATAGCCCTTCTCATGCCTAAATAGAATTCCAGCTCTGGGTGCAATGTGCAGACATAAACAGATCTGGTGCCATCTGTTGGCAGTAATGTGGATACTGTCAGAAAGCCTGATGTTAAAAAGAGTGGCAGCTACCTTAAAGATCCTAACTGTCCTGCTATAGCTTTAGCTTTGGCTTCCACTTATGTTCACACTGTAATGTGTAATGTACACGTAATGTGTAATGTTCAATCAAATGCTTTTTTCTATTTCTTACACAGCTTTGCTAGGAGGTGCTGCTACTTCTGTGTTTACCTACGTAAAAATTGCAAAAACAAAGGGAGGGCTTTATGTAGTAAAAAACTGACCAAAGAAAAGGCATAATATCACAAATTATATGCCAGCAGGAGGCAGTAAGAATATAGAAAAAGCTTTTCGTTCAACTAGATTGAGTTTTAGGCGTATAAATAAAAAAAAAGTCATTTAACATTACTTTCCACCTTTAAAGTCTACGGTTGTGAATTTAACATAATGGAAAAACACTGTAAATACATACCAGAAAACTGCAGGGATCAGTAGATCAGGACCCTTTCACATAAATATACAAACACTGTAAGAAAAAGTAATTAGGGTCTGTCTAACTTGTTCTGTAATTAACAGAAATAGCCACTGTTAACTGTTTGGTAAACAAGCAAAGAGCAATCAAATAAAAGGAGCACCCAGGCAGTATGCCCTTTGAATACCAAGGACTGATTTTATTCCACCAACAGAGAGAAATAAATTAAGTTAGTTGGAGTTGTTGACGTATAAAGATGGAGGCAAACTGAAAAATGTGTTTGAAAAAAAGCATAAAATGTAGTCCTTGTTGCCCAAAAGGTCTACTACCTTCCATGCAAGCTTCAGGCTGGAAGAAAATCGAATAGGACCATAGAGGGACATTTAGTACTCTAACAGTCAGAACCTGAAGAAGATATTTAGAAATGAATAACTTACAGTACACCTGCAGTACATTTTTAAAATTATTTTTTAAACCTGAGAGACAAACATCAGTCAAAGGTATTTTTTATATGATCACCAAAACCTTTCAGCAACTTTAACGGGTTCAGGTCTTTTGAAAAGGTTTTCTACAAGAAATGGATCTTTAACCATTTTTTTGAGGCACATTTGTAAGGTCAGACATGATGTTGGACATGAAGGCCCCACTTGGCTCATCTTTAAAATGTTCTATTAAGTTGGAGTCAGAGCTCTCTGCAGATCCTCCATTTCATAGACGTAGTTTCTGATGTGAATGCTGAAACATGTTGGAACAGGAAGGAACATGAACTTGTCCAAAAGGATTTTGTATAATGAAAACCGTATTTGTGTCTGCAAAATTAGAAGGCTGGTTTAAAGTGCATAACATTAGAGTTGATAATGTCACGTCTCAGAACAGAGGACCCAGTATTCAGGAAATGAATTGAAAAAGTGGAATTGTAATGGAATGGAATGGAATTATAAAAAAAAAAGTTTCTTTAAAACCGGCAGATCAGAGTAGAAGTTGCTAGGGCATCTGAAGCAGGAAACTTTGGAGAGAGGAAACAATGTGACCACGTAAAACTCACGGAGGAAGATTATGAACATGAGTCACTAAACTGGTTTAAAAGTTCAGTCCATAGCCAGACAATGTGGTAGGATCCAGCCTATGGGCTGCCAGCAAGATGCGGCGGGTGCCGCCCAGAGTGTCCCGAAGGAGTCAGAAGCAAGGTCAGGTAAACAGATCAAAACAGGACTAGAGAGGCTCAGAGGTTCAGAAATCATAAGCCAGGTTAGGCAACCAGATCAGAACAGGAACAGGCAGGCTGACGTGACCAGGTGTCCGGAGGAAGGTCAGGCAAACAGATCAGAACAGGAACAGACAGGCTCAGATGACCAGGTGTCCAGAGCCAGGTAAGGCAAACAGACCAGAACAGAAACAGGCAGGCTCAGAGGTCCAGGAGTACAAAGACAGGTCAGGCAAACGGATCAGGACAGGAACAGGCAGGCTCAGTAGTTGAGAGGCAGACCGGGAAATCCGAAACCCTAAGATACGCTAAAAACACTCTCACCACAGGCTGGAGAGAAATAATCTTGCCCTGATGAGTGGTAGCAGGCAGCTTAAATAGAGGCAGGAGCAGGCGGATGAGTTGAGCTTTAATGAGAAACCAGGCAAAGTTAGACAGGTGAATGAAATGAATAATGTAGCTGCTTGGCATTCTAAAGAGCATGAACACTAAAACTACAGGAACTTTAGCAAAAATGACCGAGGATATCTAATGTAACATTTTGAGTCTATCGGACTGTAGGTGCCAATAACCTACCTTTGTTTCAGACTTGGCCAAAAGGCATCCACACTTCCGCTTTCTCTGTAAGCTTTCAATGTGTTATTTGTTGATGGAAGGTCTCCCTTTCAGATATCCTACTGGACGACGGCTACGAGGGAAACCTCCGCAAGGAAAGTCGCAGTGTGAGGATCATGGTTAGCATCAGCAATGCACCAAAAAGCACCAAGGTTTGACCAGCTGAGATCCCATTAATATATTCTTACACCTCCTGACTCTTACAGTAACAGTTCTGCTTATTCTTCAGGGTCCACAAAGCCATGAGTACCTGATTGGCTCTATAGGCGTCAGCGGTAAGACCAAGTGGGACGTCCTGGATGGGGTCATTCGTCGTCTCTTTAAGGTGAGCAGATCATCACCTTGAGGCAATGAAACCATGCTTTCAAGCAGTTTTTTTTTTAAACACTCCAGTTGTTTGTAAGGTTCTGCCCAGTTTGCAGTAACATTTAATAAAGTACAGTTATGCCTCCTTGGCTGCCGCCCTCCTGTAGGAGTATGTGTTCCGGGTCGATCCTGGGACCAGCCTGGGTCTTAGCTCTGACAGCATTGTGGGCTACAGGATGGGGGATGTGATTCGCAGCCACGCGTCTGAAGTGCCTGAGCTGTTGCCCTGTGGATACCTGGTGGGCGACAACAACCTAATCAAGGTCAACCTCAAAGGTATGCTGCACATTTTACTCAGTAGAGTTTGGTTTTCTTGCTAAAAGTCAGCTTTTATCATGATGTTTCCAGAAACAAAACAGAAAGAGAAATGTAAAACACATTTCTGATGTGGGTAATTTGTTTTTTTCCCTCTGTTCTCATCCTAGGTGTGAAGGAGAACAGCATAGACAGCCTTGTGTTTGACACTCTCATTCCAAAGCCTATAATCCAGAGGTACCTCAACCTGTTGATGGAGCATCGGCGGATCATCCTCTCAGGACCCAGCGGCACAGGAAAATCCTTCCTGGCTGCCAAGCTGGCTGAGTACATCATTACGCAGATGGGCCAGGAGGTGACAGAGCACAACGTGGCCAGCTTTAATGTGGACCAGAACTCCAGCAAGGTAAAGGGCTTTACTCTTTCATCGAACCTATTTTCATTGTAAAATGGCTGCTGCACGGTCTGGGCAACTACTGGAATTAAAGGAGAATGAATGAAGTATTTTCTCTTTCTTTCTTTGTATCCACTTTTAAATGTTCACTTTTACTTGCTTTTGTATTTTTTCCATATTTTTTTCTTTCACCTTCCTTCCTTCCTTCCTTCCTTCCTTCCTTCCTTCCTTCCTTCCTATAGCTCCTGCCTCCTCATTTCCTTCCTTTCCTTTCCTT